TGAGAGAGAGAGAGAGAGAGAGAGAGAGAGAGAGAGAGAGAGAGAGAGAGAGAGAGAGAGAGAGGGGGGGGGGAAGAGAGAGAGAGGGAGAGATGATGATGATGATGATGTTTTAGTTTTAGTTTTAGAAGAGGTTTTACGGCGCTCGCAACTGCAAAAGGTCATATGAGCACCAAGGGGTGGATGTCAACATAGAAGTCCTTACAGGGAATCAAACTTACTCTGCTCACCTCTCTTGCTTCATTAGCACAAAGTCTGCTTCGACTATCAAGGCACCCCGGAAATAGTGGGCCACAAGAGAGTGGCAAACATACTTCAAAACATATTTCTGAGTGCATTTTTACTTTTTGTTTAAAACATGTTGATTAAAGGCACACAAAAAATAATCTTCAGTTTCTAAACTGAACTGTCAAGCTGTGGATGTTACCAAACTTTGGGGGCTATTTTTCTGGTCAATTTTACTTCTGAAACCAGGCGATCCCCGCCTCCATCATTGGCAAATATTATCTTGAATTCTCTTCAAGACAGATAGGTGGGTTTTTTTTCAAAAGGTAGACGAAAGACCAAGCTTTGTGAGGATACCAATAACTCTACATGTCCAAAAAAAGACGAGCGCCTGATTCCACCACGCTGCGACACATTAGCCCGTGTTTGGATAGACTTGATGTATTAAAGTATCCAAGACTGTGCACTCTCATTTAATTTTTGTTCACTGTCGAGCCCACCATTTGATTCTATTTGGAACCGAATAAAGGGCAAGGAGAAAAAGTTTGCTTGCACACAGCGAGGGTGGTGCTTTGCCCTTCATCTGCGCGCACGCCCATGGTGAAAATGGCATATTATGTTTTACGACCCTATCGACACTGTTAGGATTTTTAAGAAGCAGGAACTCCGAGTTTAACGTACATCTCCGAAAGGACGGAGCCAAAATGGGAAATTCGTATCAAATGCCTTTCCCAAGGACGCAAAGTCGAACTGAGCTATAGCTCGTTCCCCAAACCCGCAACCTAACGATGGGCCCGGAGGCCTAACCCGCAGGCTAGACAGACGCCGCGCCCACGGTGTGCCTCGGCGTCGCGAAGTTTTCAGGGAGAGTGAAGAGAGGAAGACATGACAGTGCCCAGTCCAGGATACATGTATTATAATTCAAGATGTGCTTGGGTGTTATTTCAGAATCTTGTCCAGGCAAATTCAAAGTGGTTAGGGACACTGGTGAAGTTCAAGTAAATACTGGTGATTTAGATCGAGATGGCGGCCTCATCGAGTCAGCTAGCGGCATCTGCCGGATAACTGTTCAGGTACATGGGTGACATAATTTATGTAGACAAAAATTACGTTTTACTAAATTTGTTACGAGTAGCCTTATAGTGGGTGCACAACGCCAAATTGTATCCAATAGAATTGAGTCGAGGCCAGCCAGATTTTCCTCGATGAAGGGGCAGAAGCTACTATTTTAGCATAATTCAACCGAATTTGACTACATTCGACTGTGACCTTCAAATCAGTAGCGTTTGTTTTCTCAGGATCTCAAGTCGAATCAGTCGTATTGTGTCAAAATGGTAGCTTTAGTCTCTCCATGACTTAAATCTGACTGGCAGAATGCACTGGGTATACGTTGTATGCTTTAAAAAAACCCATTACCACCACCGAGGAGATTGCCTTGAGATTTGCGATTTTTTAGCTTTTACCACAAAGGCTGAAGAAACTGAAATCCTTGCCATCATCTTCATCATCATCGTCATCATCATCATCATCGTCATCATCATCATCATCTTCATCATCATCATCATCATCATCATCATCATCAGCAGCA